TCCCAAATGAATGATTTTTTTTCCAGAGGTAATGAAGAATGCAGAGTTTTCATCCACTGATGAGACCACTCAAGAGTAGGGCCTCTGATGAAGGTTTTAAGCACAGGTGTAGAAACATTATATTTTGTGAGTCCAAATCCCAATCCATGAAGGATTTTAGAAGTAAAAATTAGTACCTTTAAATGCTCTTAGATATGGTCCAAGAACCAATGAGATTTGTATAATATGCTTATACTTCCTATTCCCAGTTTGCAGTCTAGCAGATGTATTGTGAACTAACTGAAATATTTGGAGTATATCATTCAATTTAAGTCTTCAAATTTTAATTTTTATCTTCAAAGACAGTGTGATATTGAACAATTCCCAGAGATTGGGAATTGTAGCACCTCAGAGAAAGCATAAACTTTGATAAATTAAGGGCCCTTCCATACAGCCATATAACCCAGAATATCAAGGCAGAAAAACCCACAATATCTGCTTTGAACTGGAATATCTGAGGCCCCTTCCACACAGCTGAATAAAATCCCACTTTTCTGCTTTGAAATGGAATATACAGCAGTGTGGACTCAGATAACCCAGTTCAAAGTGGATACTGTGGGATTGTCTGCCTTGATATTCTGGGTTACATAGCTGTGTGAAAGGGGCCCGAGTCCACACTGCCATACATCCTCAATCAAAGCAGATAATGTGGGATTTTATTCATTCAAAGGCCGGATATATGCAATACCATATGGCTTTCAACCGTTGAACATATTTATATTTAAGGAAGGGCCACTCAAGGCTGAGGTTCATGTTCTACTTCAATCTAAATTGGCATTCTTCTCTGCCTTTCACCCAGATTTCAGCTGGTTTTGGTCAAAAAAGTAGGCTGCAATCCATAAATAATTCCAAAATAAACATCACACATTCCTTAATTGTTTCTGTTCTAACACATGAATAACTAGTTCTCTTACATATGTTTTCACTTCACTCATTGCTAGTTTTCAATTAAAGTTCACTACATAAATGTATAACTTTGTGTTTTTCCCTTTGATGCTGGCTTGAGAATTATGTGGTTGGGGACTGTGAACATTAATTAAGGGAACAGAGATAGCATGAAAATGTCTAGTCATAGTTCCTAACTGCAGAGCTTAAGCCACTTGTTAATGCCACTGTTTCAAGTCCCAATTACTGTTCTTTGATAACTTCACAGGACAGCTTGAAAACAGTAATGAAAGACACATAAAAATTCAAAGAGGTCCTGAGACAGCAGGAGGTAATATTCCAGATTAAAGCAAGACCAGCCCTTAGAAGAGTAAAAGTCTTGCTTTTTCTGTATATGAAGGAAATTTTATCTCAAGGGAATACAAACTGACCATTGATGCTAATTAGAATCATACTGATTTTGAAAGCTTTAAGGAAACTAAAAACCAATGGGGCAAAATTTAGATAAATAAACAGCAACCTCTAACAAGACATCAATTTCAACTGAAATAAACTATTCTTTTTATGAAGTGGTTTTCTTCTCTTTAAAATATAAAATGGTCTTCACTTGATATAATGAGCACTTGATTCTATTATTCCTAACTCAAGAAAACATAATTATGCTTATATCAATAACAGCTTAATGATAAAGGAGCAGAATAAAAAGACAAACAAAAAAGGAGCAAGAAACGACTGCTTACATTAACTATTCTCTACTTATTTCATCAAATTTGAAATCATGGAATTTAGAGCTATTAAGAGCTTTTACCTGAGAGTAGACAATACTGAATGGACAAATAGTCTGACATGGGATAACTCAATGTTATTGTATGTCTCATGGAGTAAATGTACTGAAAAATCCAGCCCTACAGGTTGTTCAGCACTAGGAGAAGCTGGATTACCATAATGTCTTGGCACTAACAGAATACTGGTACTGTCAATTTCTAAATATGTTGGGGAGATGTAATTGTATGAAGGAAGAGATCACTTCTGAAGTCACCAATGACTTGAAATGATTTAACATGACGTTGCCTTTCAGCTGAAATGCGTCCTTTTATTTTGGTGGATTTGGAGTAAGGGGAGATTAGGGGACCAAAATTATCATTCTGATGAGATGATTTGGAGTTTTCAGAGGCAAGTTTTACATGAATTTTTTTGCTGGCATCAGAGGACTTTGGAGGTTTCTAGAAGACATTAGAGACCCAGAGGCTGTGGCAAATCGCGCACATTTTCCCCACCACTGTCCTATTTCCTGATGGTACTTATCCTCAGAGGCAACAAAGGATGGAAGCTACTATTAATTCCATCAGATCCCATATTTTTTTCAGATCAGTTGACCTAATAGTTGTGATGGCAAATACCCCTCAATTTTGTTCTGTGGGCTCTTCCACACAGCCACATAACCCAGAATATCAAGGTAGATAATCCACAATCTAGTTCAATGTGGATTTTATACAGCTATGTGGAAGGGACCTGTGAAAGCTGATGCAGAGAGCAATTATCTTGCCCTCCCCCCAGGGTATCAACATGTGGCAAACCACAGAACCTGTAGTAATGCTGAATCTAGTTATCTACAAAAGACTGATGAAACCAACTAAGTTAAGAAAACTTTCAAAGATTTGTTTGTTGTTTCAACTATGCTAAATCATGTCCTGATGGATATTCAGGCCATCCCATTACCACTTGAGATGGATGTTTTATATGTTCTTTGATTTTATGGTTGCTTTTGTTGTTTTCATTTTTGTTTCTACCTGCACTTTACGGCATTGAATGTCTGCCGCTGTTTGTTGCAAACTGCCCTGAGTCCCCACAGGGAGACAACGGAYAGAAATAAAAATTATCATCATCATCATATTCAGTTACTACATCTGTAACTTCTTGAAATTTTACTATAGTATGACCCCTGTATCTGCATGTTATACATTCTGTCTCCCTCCCCCCCCCCCCCCCCGGATACCTGAAACTGTGGAGAACGGCAAACCATGTATTTAACTATACATGGCCAATAATATATTTGTGGATGGAACGCTTTATGAACTGTAGGTAAGTGAAATTGTGGGTAATGACTCCATTGATAAGGGGGGCATGCAGTATCTCAGATGCACACAAAGTAGACATGAGAAATGACTACAGAATATTTTGTGTAACAGACAGGTTGCAGGCAGGATCCATTTGTGAAATTAGACTGTGATGGTGGTAGGAAAGAAACGTGCTTTCTTCATTGTCATTGTACTAGGAAAGTAACAGCCAGCAGAACTACTTCAGAGCATCAACTGTATGACAATATCCTCCAATATGAAGACTACATACACTATAGTACACTGTACCAAGTTTAGAAGATTTGACAATTTTTCTAGTTTAGAAACTGCTTTTTTATTTTTGTAAAGAACCAACTGGAGTCTAGACTATTGTCTTTATCCCATTTGCATAATAAAGTATTTTTGTGAAACTGAGGCCCCTTCTACACTATATATTCCACATTATCAAAGCAGATAACCCAGATTATCTGCTTTGAACAGGATTATATGAGTGTACACTGCCAGATAATCCAGTTCAAATCAGATAATCTGGATTTTATAAGGCAGTGTAGAAGGGGGCTGATTCCTGCTAAAACCCATGAAAGACCTTAATCAACACTACTTTAAAACAGATGCTGCATGCCTCTCTGAATGTTCAGTTCTTAAGCATCTGGGGGCCCTTCCACATAGCCGTATAATCCAGAATATCAATGCAGATAATCCCACAATATCTGTTTTGAACTGGGTGATATGAGGGTCCTTCCACACAGTCCTATATCTTAGAATATCAAGGCAGAAACTACCACAATATCGGCTTTCAACTGAGTTACCTGAGTCCACATTTAGATAATGTGGAATTTCCTGCCTTGGTATTCTGGGATATAGAGCTGTGTGAAAGGGCTCTGAGACCACACTCCCATATATTCCAGTTCAAAGCTGATAATGTGGGATTTCCTGCCTTGGTATTCTGGGATATAGTGCAGTGTGGATATAGGATTGTGTGGAAGGTCCCTCAGTGGAGTGGCTGTGCTCGCTTGCTATGTGATCAGCTCCTGGGCTATAGGGTCTGTCTAGGGTTCCTTCCACGCAGCTGAATAAAATTTTCGCTTTGAAGCAGCAGCATGGATTTGGGGCCCTTCCACACAGCCCTATATCCCAGAATATCAAGGCAGGGAATCCAACATTACCTGAGTGTGGACTCTGATAACCCAGATCAAAACGGTTTTAAATGGTAAATGTTTTTTGATAAATGTTTTTTAATGTTTATGTATTGTATGTGAATTTGTGTCCCGACACTGAATGTTTGCCGTGTATATGCTGTGCCCCTTCGGGGTGAGAAGGGCGAAATATAAATGTTTTAAAGAAATAAATAAAGCAGATATCGTGGGATTTTCTGCCTTGATATTCTGGGATATAGGGCTGTTTAGAAAGGCCCTCAGATAATCCAGTTCAAAGCAGATTTTGTGATATGTTCTGCCTTGATGTCCCAGAATATCAAGGCAGGGAATCCCACATTATCTGAGTGTGGACTCGGATAACTCAGTTCAAAGCAGATTTTCTGTCTTGATATTCTGGATTCTATGGCTGTGTGGAAGGGCCCTGGAAGAGCTCTGGATAATATAGCCGTGTGGATTCAGATAACCCAGTTCAAAGCAGATATTGTGGATTATCTGCCTTGATATTCTGGGTTATATGGCTGTGTGGAAAAGCCCCCAGATGCCCAAGAACTGAACATTCAAAGAGGCATGTAGAATCTGTTTTAAAGTAGTGTTGATTACAGTCTTTCGTGGGTTTTAGCAGGAATCAGGCCACACAGCCATATAACCCAGAATATCAAGGTAGAAAATTCCATAATATCTGCTTTGAACTGGGTTATCTGAGTCCACACTGCCGTATTTTCCAGTTCAAAGCGGAAAATGTGGGATTTTATTCAGCTGTGTGGAAGGGGCCTGGGGCTAAAGTGCAGCAGGCCACCCGGCCCTCCTGTGAAGCCTTTCCAGCCGACGAAGGAGGACTCACCTGCTTGCCCGGATCCACCCACTGACGCTCCACGTTTGGGCTGCCGCTAGAAAGAAGAAAAAACATAAACAGTAAGATGTTGATTGAGATGCGAACCAGATCCGGCATCGCGTCTATGAAACACTTTGCCACCGCAAGCATCTTCCTTCACACTCACCCCAGAGCGCCGCCATTTTGGAAGCCCTCCTTCAGGGCTTTACGGCAAAGGTCTTCAAGAACGCGCCACTTGGCCCCACGCGGCCACCGTTTTTCCCGCGAGCGGGCGCGTTTGCGACAGCACGTGAGGCGCGTACTTTGCGGCAGCGTGTGGTAACCGAAGCATCGGAGGCGTGAGAGAGAGCGAGGAGAGGAGAGCAGTAGTGCCGAAGCAGATGGAGGGCTCTCCAGGCGCCGCGGAGCGAGTTCTGCCGGCCTCTCCCAACTGGTACTGCGGCCGGTGCAGCGACGCTTCCGAGGACGGGCGCCTCTTCGGCTTCGCGGCTCGCCACACGGTGTGCCTCCTGCAGGCCCGCCCCGCCGCCCCCGCCTTCTACGGTACGCAGGCAGGCCAGCCTCCCCCTTTAAGGGCCTCCCTTTAAGGGCGCCTCCGCTCTGTCGAAGGAGTGCAGCTCCACACCGCTTTAACCGCCCTGGCACCATGCTATAGGAGCCCGTTGTACAAGATCTTGAGCCTTCCCTCAGCCCATGGGTTTTTTTGTAGGCTTTTTCGGGCTATATGGCCATGTTCTAGAGGCACTTTCTCCTGACGTTTCGCCTGCATCTATGGCAAGCATCCTCAGAGGTAGTGAGGATGCTTGCCATAGATGCAGGCGAAACGTCAGGAGAAAATGCCTCTAGAACGTGACCATATAGCCCGAAAAAACCTACAACAACCCAGTGATTCCGACCATGAAAGCCTTCGACAATGTATTAAATCTACCCTGTGAATGCACCCTGAGAGATAGAAATTGGTAGCATGAGCTTTCCTGGACGAAAGCGTTTCATCCAATGCAATTCGTGCCTCTACATGAGTCTCCAGAGCTGTGGTTCTCAACTTCCAGAAATCCCAGTTTACAAGTTATTAGGATTTCAGAGAGTTGAACGCCAAAACATCTGGGTACCCACAGGATGGGAACCACAGCTCCAGAGCAAGCCAACTCTTGCTTTCCCCAATTCATTAAAACGGTGGCCCTCGTGGAAATGAGAGCCCCCTTATTCATGCACAGAATGCCTCTACAGTCTACCCTAGGCCCGGCTGTTAGGAATTGTGGGAGTTGAAGTCCAAAACAACTGGAGGCCGAAGTTTGCCCATGCCTGGACCACACTGTAGAATAAATGTGATTTGACCTCACCTTAGCTGCCCTGGCTCAATCTTATGGGATCCTGGGACTTGTTGTTTCTTGAGACACCCAAACTCTAGTAGAGAAAACAGAAGGCCTTGTAAAACTTTGGCTGTTTTTTATCTGTTAATAAGTTTAAAGTTAGACTGCTTATTTATTGTTTATTGTTTCAATTTTTTTTTGTGTCGGGAGCGACTTGAGAAACTGCAAGTTGCTTCTGGTGTGAGAGAATTGGCCATCTGCAAGGACATTGCCCAGAAGACGCCCGGATGTTTTGATGTTTTACTATCCTTGTGGGAGGCTTCTCTCATGTCCCTTCATGGGGAGCTGGAGCTGACAGAGAGAGCTCATCCACGCTCTCCCCAGATTTGAACCTGTGACCTGTCGTTTCATATGATTTGTTTTGATGTAATTTATTTGTATGTTTTTCCTTTTTGACATTGAATGTTTGCCATATATATTAAAAACCACCCTGAGTTCCTTTGGGGAGATAGGGTGGTTTACAATTAAGGATTATTATTATTACTACAACTCCCATGAGCTTCAGCCCCTGTTATATTTTAGTAATGCAGGCTCTTGTGTGTGTTGCGGAGGATTAGTTTGGGAATAGTAATAATATGCTCTGAGAACTCCATGATTCTTCTTAAAATAGGTTCTAGAGAGCATATCCTTAGTGTGGGACATGCAATAATCCTTTAAGTATAAAACTAACAAAATTAAAGACAGGAGTTAAGTACAAATGTTCTCAATCATCAGAATAATGTCAGCCTTCACACATTGGACTGCAGCTCCCATTAGACCTAGCCAACATAGAGTTCTAAGGTTGCAGCTGAGAAAAGCGGTATATAAATAAAGTAAATACATAATATCAGAAGTGCTGCCTGATTAATATTTTATCGTAATTTCTACCTCTAATTTAAATGTAATTCCAGAGTACTGCTAAAAGTGCATAGTCCATGACTTCTATCCCTTTGCTAGCATCCAGTATGGCCGCTCTTTAAATTTCCTTGAAATCAAAGGGTTATTTGTCTTATGATTTGGTTCTTCTTTTCATGACAGGGGAGCTAGTTGGCCACACCGAGAGAGTCTCTGGTTTCTCATTTTGCCCGTGTCCTGATCAAAACTACCTCTGTGCCAGCAGTTCTGATGATGGAGCTGTCAAGATCTGGGATACGAACTCCCTGGCTGTCACAATGGAGCATACTCTGCATCAGGTAAAAGGGTTGAGCAACTATGGGGGAAGCTTGCAGAAGACCATTGTAATATAGAGGAGCTAGGTCTGGCATACACAGTTGCTCCATTTATTTCTGTGTCCTCTAGAAGAATAAAGTCTCTTTTAAGAGTTGTTTTTCTGATCCTGCACACTTTTAAGACTGAAAATTGGAATGGGGTGGCCTTGGAATAAGGGAGGATATCTAAGTTGGCTGATGTCTACTCTGGCTTATCTTGGAAGTTAGGGGAAGATACTGCCTTGTTAAAATACTTGGGAAAACAGGTGTGATTGATTAAGATGTTGTCCTGGGCAGCTCATAGCACCCTGGCTTGGCAAGATACAAATTCCTCATGTTTTGCCTAAAAATAAACCTCTATACAGATGGAGGCCCATTCCACACAGCTGAATAAAATCCTGCATTTTCTGCTTTGAACTGGGATATATGGCAGTGTGGACTCAGATAACCTGGTTCAAAGCAGATATTGTGAGGTTTTCTGCCCTTCTGTAGAAAATCCCACATTATCTGAGTGTGGACCCAGATAACCAAGGGCCCTTCCACACAGCCCCATATCCCAGAAAATCCCACTATATCTGCTTTGAACTGGGTTATCTGAGTCCACACTCAGATAATGTGGGATTTCCTGCCTTCATATTCTGGAATATAGGGCTGTGTAGAAGGGCCCTATGACAAATAAGGTGCTGCATGCTGACCAAGACTAGGGTCTTCCTTTTTGTCATTCCAGGGGTTCCTGACAACTGAATCAGGAAGCCTTCTTGGTTTGTGTTTCTTTTCTAGGATTCTCTTAGTATATCTGCTTCTCCAATACATTTCTTTCTTGAGCTGTAAACCACTTGAGTGTTTTTGCCTCAAGATCGAAAGGGGGACGGGGGATGGGGGACACCTTTGCCTCTAGCAAAATAGCAACTATGAGTGCAGAAGAGGCAAATGTGGATTTGCCTCTTATGTACTCACAATTACTATTTTTCAGAAAGATTTAGTGATAGCGATGGAAGTTCTGAAAGCTTTAAAGGAGCATATACTCAATTTCTTTTGCAGTGATTGGCTATGAGGAAGATAGACACAAACACTGCTTGATTTTAACAGTCTTTGATTTCAACACTTACATGTAAGTGTGGTCAACTGCATTCTTGATAAATGTCAAGTTACTACCATATATTTGCTTGACTATAGAGACATTTTAGTCTAAAAATTTAGCCTGAAAACCTTGGTCAATGTATCCATGAGTAATAGTTGGTTTCCATAGGAATCAAGTCAATGGCAGTTGCTCTGGATAATACAAGAACCACAGGGGAGTTTGTGCTGCCAGGGGAGAGGACCAAGACTATTCGAAAGCAACCCAGGAAACTCCTGTGTTGTCACAGAGGCTGGCCTGTGCAGCTCAAGGAAACAGGAAGCTGAAGTTGCCCAAAAGGCCTGCAACCTGTGGCCCTCCAGGTGTTTTGGGCTTTGGCTCCCAAAATTCCAAGCTTTCTGGCTAGGGTTTCAGGGAGTTAGAGCGCCTCAGATTGTCTGGAGCAGTGTTTCTCAAATTCTGCTCCTCCAGGTATTTAAGACTTCAGCTTCCAAAATTCACAGCCAGTTTACCAGCTGTTAGAAATTGTGGGGGCTGAAGTCCAAAACATCTGAAGGAGTACAGTTTGAGAAACTCTGGTCTAGAATAAGGGGGGGGGACCTTTCACGTTGGGGGGGACCTTTCACGTTGGAAGGCCACATTAATTTAGCTGTAATAAAAAAAAGGCCATATTCAAGAAACTCCAAACAACTATACAAGTATAATAGTATAAAATCTACACGGTCACTAGTATCAGTTAATTCATCTAAAGCACTGGTTGTCAACCTGTGGGCCCCCAAGTGTTTTGGCCTGCAATTCCCAGAAATCCCAGCTGGTTTACCAGCTGTTAGGAGTTGAAGACCAAAACATCTGGGGACCCACAGGTTGTAAACCACTGATCTAAAGCAATTGTTCTGTTAATTTGAAGGCTAATTCGTGGTGTCAAACAATTGTGTTTCTCCTTGAAATAAGCAATTGTAGAGTGTCATTTACATTAAAATAAGAATTAAAGTCATAAGTCTCATCAATGTACCTCCACAAGACTTCAAAAAGCAGACATGCACCAGTTTGTCTTTTAAAATATTTTTTGAGATGTTTCTATTGCAGTGCAAACATAAACCACTTATTCATCTCATCTGGATAAAGTCTCCTTAAACTCTCTTGTTTATTCTTCATTTTTTAACGGCTAGTGCTCATTCTTTGCTGTAGTTTTTCTGGAGTGCTTACTACTTGATGTTGCCAGTTGGCATTCCTCATGGAAGCTAGATTGGGGCAGTTAATTGCTGATCCCTACTATACACAACAGGTCTATAGATTACTAACTTATCTTTTTATTTTTGTTGAATTTCAGAATACAATTTCTGCCTTGCATTGGTCACCCAAAGTGAAAGATTTGATAGTGTCTGGTGATGAGAAGGGAATAGTAATTTGTTACTGGCATAATCGAAATGACAGCCAAACATTCTTCCCAGAGCCCAGAACCATATTTTGTCTCACTTGTTCTCCACACCATGAGAATTTGGTAGCCATTGGGTAAGTACTCCTTAGATAGCAAGAAATATATGGATATTACAGGCAGCACACCTACATATTTACTTGGTAATATGAACTGGGACACAGTAGTGTTTGCTTATGAGTAGTCAAAATTGTTTTG